GGTGATGTCATGTGTGAAAAAAGGAAACGAATAAAATTTACATTTTTTATCTCGAAAAAGATTTTTTTCAGATTAATTGAGATTACCGTGATTAGAAAGGCAAGAGCATCAAAATTCAAAATCTCCTTTTTTTTCCGAAAATTTTTGTACGAAAGTCGTAATAGTAGCCCCTTCATAATACAAGTCCCCTCTAAAAATTTTGAACACTTGGACAGTTTAGAAGCCCCGGAGGCTTCTATTATGGGGGGAGGGTTTACAAACTTTGCTCGAGGCGCTTTTTATTGGCTCTTCAAAATTCGCAGCAAATTAGCTTTTAATGAAAAGAATTTCGAACTTCAGGTCTTTTTTTATCACAGCGTCACGCGCCGAAAAACGGTTCTAAAAATTTCGAATACTGTTTCATTTAACATTTTGTAGATACGTTCTTACTATTCATTTTTCGTCTTAGATAATCAAAAACTAGCATGGACTACTACGAGTTTCAAGACTAACTCTGATTATATTGAGAAAAATTAGTCAGAAAATTTCCTATCAGACTTGAGATATATTCTTATAAAACGCCGATACTTGCGATCAGGCAGTTTCTCGCATTCACTCATATCGGATTACCCAGATAAAATGGGAGACTTTTGTTCATTATTTTTGAGGCACTGTCCAGTGGTTCAGAGAGTTTGTTCTAAGCTCAATCGACAGAGAAATTGAAATCTCTACAAAACCTACTATTTGAATCTTTGACAGCATATTGCTCGTTTGAGCATAAGTTGTCGAACTGCAACGTGTTTTTGTCGTCTCCTTTTTTGAGATTTTTAGTCCATTGTTTGAGGTTCAATAGTTAATTTTTCTAGGTACAAAACTAGAGAATTTTGTGCTCTATCGACCTCACTCATTCACATCTTCATACAATATTTTCGCTACGTCAGCTGGAATCATAATTAATTCTCAATCAACTTTTCTATTTTTTCAAAGTAAATTAACTTCTTTAATAATGGTTTCAATTGAGAAACCTTGCTTATATATCAAAAGATACCGAATTTAATTCTGTGTAAAATAATAAGACTAAAACTCTGGATTCAGAGCGTTTTACTGCTTTTATAGCAAAAAAATTAAGGTCTGGTAAAAACAGGCTCAATAGCTACGCCTTTTTATATTTGTAAGTTTTTTGCACAGAGAAATTTTCCTAGAAAACTTAACTGCAAAATTTCGAAAAATATGTGAGAAGATGCCGACTTTTTCGGTGAATCTTCTGATGTTTTCAAAATTATTATGGAATTTGTTTTGTTTTCAGGGCAAATATTTCTCTATTTTCAGTGTGTCGCAATTCGACAACTCAGCACCCTTCAATACTTTGAATGGGCTCAAACGAGAAAAATGCTGTCAGAGATTCAAATAGTAGGTTTTGTAGAGAATTCAATTTCTCTATCGATTGAGCTTAGAACGAACTCTTTGTACCACTGGACAGTGTCTGAAAAATAACGATCAAAAGATTCCCGTTTTATCTGGGCCACTCAGTATCTCTCTGGTGCACCTCAGAATCCGTTGCATAGAAATCGAAATTACGTTCATGTTAATAAGACAAATCTTGCTTCGCTTCACTCAAAAAAGAATACACCAAAACATATTATAAACAATAGACAAAAATGTAAACGTGAAGAAAAAATAGGAAGAATGTCCATCTCATTATTCAGCCGTAGATCGTTTTTGTATGAAAATTTGTACAGAAAACAAACGTTGATCATTTTTGTTTTCAACTTCCGTCGATTGTCGAAACAATTGCGCTTTTTGCCATGCGCAGTCACCATCACCACCAGACAATGTGGCCAAAATACGAATGTTCTGACATGATATTGAATCAATTCTCAAATCATATTCATTCTTACTGTCATCTAAACAAAGAGATATTGTTCATTGAATATAATTCATGCTACATACGCATACAGTGGACATTCATGAGGACATTTGACAAAAAAGCAAATCCTTTTATAGAATAATTCGGTATCTTCAGTATAATGACTTTCCTAGTCTTCCCACCTCTTAACTAACTCAAAGGATGCATAAATATTCTTCGATGTCGACTGCATCTCCGAATTTGACTCAAAATCTCCCTAGATCTTACAATAAGTTTTTCATATAAAATCCTCTCGTTTTTTCATTGTATCAACGTTTTAAATAAAAACAAAAATTATATTTCGAAATAAATGTGAAAAAAAAAAATATATTTCACAAAATTTTTGAGAGAAATGTATTCTGTTCGGAAAATGTTTGCCCTCGATCTCTTCAGCCTAGATTTTTTTTTCGAATAAATAGTTTATTTTTGTTTTTAACAGTTAATTACGAGTGATTTCGAGCACTGCTGAAACAAAAAAACTAAAATGGCTAAAAAGAAATGCGATGTCCGCCTGTTATACGAAAAATGTCCACTGTAACACATACACATACTTGTGGGTAAGTCTTGCGAGTATGCTGTTTTCTTGTTATCAAAATACTCTATTTGCCATTGTACTTTTCCTGAATCAAAACATGTAAATGGATATTTAACATGAACATTCTTAATTTCATAATCTTCTAAAGGATACAACAAAATACATTTATTATCTTAAATAGATTATGTCGGGTCAATTTACCATTTGGCAACTGTATATTCCACTGGATTATTCCCATATTCTCGTTTGTTTTTCTTGCTATATAACACATATTCCAATCGTGTTCAACTTTTCGTTGAATATTTTTACAACTAGATAAGCGTGTTAACCAGTTGTCACAATCAAACACTTGATTTCGATAATATTTATCAGTAGCAGAATCATAGACAAATTGACATTGACCTATTTCACATTCATCATTCGTAATGTGATAAATATAATCACATTTGCTATTGCTCTAAAATCAGCAATAACAAGAAAATGTGATAAATTTCTCGACCATTCCATGTAACTCTGCTAGCATAAATATGATTGCATTACCGTTTTATAGAGAACTTCAAAATGTTATCATTTTTTGAGAAAAAGTCATAGAGAGTTGCACAATCTCTCATTAAAAAGAAAGATTCGAAGTTTTTCAAAACTGGATTTAGTCAAACTTCTGAAAAGTTTTCGTCATTCGTACGATATATCAAGATAATTGGAAGGTACTATTTTGAAAAAAATCAAGTTGTACCGTCTCTTTTTTCTTCGCGTTTGAATACAGTTTTTTGAATCTAGTTTTGAACAACTTCGAATTTGATAATGCAATCACCTTTTCAGTAGCACAGTTACACGGAATGGCCATTCAATTTGTATTATTAAAGTTCTCTTTATTTTACTAATGAATGACTGAGAAAATATATCTTACCGGTAGTTCAGTTTCTCTCCGACTAATTCGCCATAATAATGAACCACTTTGTCTTCCTTGAAAATCACTTTCTTTATTTGATATTGATTCCCTTAGAAACGATGCTAATTCTTCAACTGAACTAAAAATAGAAGTGAACAAGAATCATATTAATCAACTATTCTCTTGAGTTAACATCATACCGTTTTATTAACTGTTTTCTCTCTCCATCGTTCATATTTGTTTTTAATTTAAAATTAATTTTTTCAATTGTTTTTCTTAACGTTTTTTCATTACACAATTTTCTTTGCTCTCTTGTTTTTAAAAAATTTGTTACATATCGCCATGTCACATCTTGTACATGATCTTGAGAAAATGCAATGATATATGTTAACGTTTTTTTCCAACCTACTTCATAGACATGTGGTGAATCACATAAATTTTCACATGAATCACAATGTAACCATTTTTTTTGCTCATACGAATAGATTTCTGTCCATACATGATCTGTTGTATCGTATACATGACGAGTCAAATAGGAATAGGCACGACATATAGCAGAAAACATAATTGCATATTCACCACATCGGCCACAACGTGTTTCTAATAATTTAAATGGATCATTATAACGGGGAAAACGATATAAAGAATTTAAACATGTTGTACATCTAAACAAAGAATACATAAATCAATAGAATGGTCCTCATAAGACTCGAAATCAATCCAACGCATTTTATCTTTTTAATATACTCAAAACTCATAAAAATGACCTTATTTCATGATTTTGACTTTTTTGAGCACGTATCCGATATGCGTAACCGACGAAATCTATTCGAAAAAAAGCACTCCCATTATATCATCATCACTATAATCGTACAATCAGTTCTCTTTCTAACCATTCACTATTTAGTCTAGTATAATACATTG